GAAATGTTGCAGAACTCGACGGAATTTCTGCTGCTAAATTGTGACCCACATTAAGAAAAAAGCTATTTAGATATTCAGCTATTATTATCTTATCACTGACTAAGTTACCATCAATTAAAAGCTTTTTCGGGAGATTGCTTTTTGTGCAGTTATTATTACCGATTATCTCTTTAATCGAATTCCATGTTTTCTTAGCATTGCCATAGTTTTTTTTTAACAAATTTGAATAATAAAGCTTTTTTGAGTATTGTTTTGTTTTTTCAAACAAGTTTTTATAATTTTTATAAGTTATTTCATTTTTATAAGTTTTATTTTTTAGGAACTTATCGTAGAGTTTTTGTTTTTTTCTTGAGGATTTGATTAAACCTTTAGACATCCAAGGAGTTAGAAGTGACTTTTTGTTTATAACAACAGTTTTAACTGGAAACGCTTTTTCATAATATTTACAAAATTGACCTAGAAAAAGTTCGTAGGCGTTGTTTGCATCGCTTGATTGCAATATAAGATCCCAATCAACATTGTTTTTTAGTAAACTTTTAAATTTTTGTAAGGAGTTTTCATTGATCTCTCGTTTGTATAAAGGAGGTTTGGGAGAGGTATTGTTTGGTGCTATGTTTTTAGTAGTTAAGAAGGTGGGAAAATGATCTGAAAGATCTGTCTTAATTATACCGGTGAAAACATGGGAATTGTTGGTTATTATATTATCGACTAAGGTAGAAGAATTTTTAGTTACTCTGGTTGGCTTGATAATTGTTGGAATGAAATTGTGCTCAAATAGAGTATCAACAAAATGTTTAACACTATTATTAGAAGTATGCTTCAACAAATTAATGTTTGTATCACCAACTATGTAAACATGCTTTTGTGCGTTATTAAATTTGTTTAAGAATGAGCTAAGATGAGTTTTGAATGTTTTAAAATTCCCACCTGGTTGTCTATAAATAGTATTTATGATTATGTTTTTAGAGTTTTTATTAACTAATTCTATGCATAATGACTCACAATCTGAAATTGGAGGCGCTGTAAACCCATTTCTTTAGATAACCAAAGTTCAATTTTTACAGTTTTCATCTTGTCAAATACGCTAGAAGTTGAAAATAAAGACTTGTTTAATTGCTTTTAAACAATCATAGTTCTCAGCTTCCGTATGTATGATTTTAATTTATTAGACTTATCAAAACGTAGTTAATAGCCATGATATTGAAATATTTCAGCAATGATTTAAAAAAAAAATAACGTTTTTTTTTTTAGGGGCCTTGGCTAGTGCTCGCCAAACTTTTTCTTATAATGAGTGCAACTTAAATATGTTATTTAATTTTATATGCTTTATGAATACGTTTTAACATTTATAACAAAAAAGTGCCAAAAGAACCCAAGTCTAAGGTACCATGCACCATTTAAATAGTACTTTTTGTTTCTGCAAACAATAAGGCCATAGAAGGTAATATAGTATTAAATATTTTCATAAACCTTTTTTCTAAAAACCTGCTATATTTTCTATTATATATATTTACTTATTAATTTTTTTTTTCTGAACTACTTGTGTTTAAAAAAGCAAGCTCATCGTCTTTTGACAAACTCTTTTACATTTTCCCAGTTAAGACACGTGTTTCATTCACTTTTAGTTTTAGAAGTGTATATCAGCTTTGTTTTTAAGTTTCTATCTAAAAGATATAGCGTCTAAAAGGTATCGCGCGTAAAACTAAATGTTTGTGATTCAGTAGGACAAATGTTTTTACTTAGTTTTTGATTCAAAATGACATAGGGGAAGGTTGCGAAGATGAGCAGGTTCCTAAGATGGTATAACCTCTTTTACGGGTAGACTAATGATTTTTTCGCGAACTTTTTTTGGTTAAGAATATTCATTCAAGTTCAACGGTGTTATTTATTTTAATTTCTTGGTTGTATAGTTATTATTCTTTGATTGTTTTATTGTTAAGAAAATTTACTACCCCGTTATAATATTATTACTATTTAATATTTTTGTAATTACGTCAGAACGAAATAAGATCATCAAAAAATTATTACGTCCTCAATATTTTAAGCTTATCTACTGTTAATTCCATAGGTTATATGAGATAATACATAAGCTGTTGTTTGCTATTTAAAGTAGGATAGTACTTGATGAAATTGCTTAAGATGATACGTTTTTAGACGCTCAAGATGAGATTCAGCTTTTATTAAGAAAAGGGCGTTTTTCTTAAGTTATTCTCCGCGGAGCTTTGTTTTGGTATTTCAAGAGCGAAAGTTTTTCAAAAAATAGTATCGTCAACTTTTTTAGAGGTAGGAAAGATTTGATATTGTTTTGTTTTTTATGGTTGAGATAATTACTTTTTACTTAAGTATAGTCCTTGAAGATGCAATTTTATTTAAGTTTTTTTTTGTGATTATTTTTTCGTTATTTTGAGTTTTTTTGAGTTCCATTAAAAGAAGTTTATCTTAGGAAACTGGTTTCCTAAGATGAGATGATTGGGTGTGTTGAAAATAACGAAATTTTTGGTATAAAGGTTTATTTATTTTCTATCAGAGCATTGATATTATTTAAGAACAAAAAATTAAATTATCGTTATTCTTAAAAATATATATCTTTTTGTAATCTTTTGAGAGCAAAATATATTACACTGAAAACATGCTCAACTTACGCAACCTTTCCCTAAATGTTTAAAATTCAACAAAACATATCGTGTAAACTATACGTTTTGAATTAGGGATCGTCCATAAAGTACGTACGCTCGGAGAGGAAAAGGGGGTCTGCGAATATCGTTTCTGAGATAAGGGGGCAGTAGGTCAATTGTAAAAGTATTGAGACACTAAATCAAAAAAATATGATAAAATGTTGGGTTGGCAGGTTAAAAGCGTAGATACTTTTAGGGAGGAAGAGGGTACTTAAAAAAGCGTATAACAAAATAAGGGGGGGGGAGGTGGCGATAAAAAAGCGTACGTACTTTATGGACAACCCTTTAGCTATTGTATCTTTTTTTTTTTCTTCTCCAATTACAATTGATAACTAAAGCGTAAGAAATTAAATAGAAAAATTTAAAAAAAAACACAGAAAGTTTGAAACCCAGCACAATATATTTTAGCCATTTGTCTTATTAAATAAACAGTCAAGCTACCAAAGATGTCTTATAAACATAAATTTGTATCAGAAATAAATATTTTTTTACTTCCTACTTTAATATAAAAAAGAGCAACCCATTTGATTGTTATATAAAAAGTGGCCGAGCTATTGGTTTATTATTAAAAAAGAGACTAATCTATTGGTTTATTATATAAAAAGAGACAAATAGGGAAACTCGAAGATAGTTTAGCATAAAGATTTTACCAGATCCATATTTTCATTCACCATTTCAGCACAACCTTGTTGGCTTTTACACCATTTAAAATACAGACAAGTTGAATTATTGTAAACTTTGAAGTCTACCTCTAAAAATCTACTTAACAAATTTTGATTGCTTTGGCGCATTTTTCTTAAGAGAATTTAGACTTTATTGAAACTTTCAGTTACTTGCTTAGTTGCTAAGTAACCACTAATAACATTCTAATAAAATTTATTAAGTTAGTACTTTTTTTTGAGGCGCCTGTTAAGCTAAAACTTTTGCTAAATGTTTTGAACATAAATTTTTTTATTAACCTTATTTTTTTTCGCCAAAAAAAAATTACCACAAAAAATACAGAGCTTAAAAAATCAATCTGCTAACTAAACCCGGTCTTTCTAAATTAAAAACAAAACAAACAAACTCAATAAAAATCGGAGAAAGACTCAAAAAAAATATTTTGAAAACTGTTTAAAGCTAATAGTGCCTTCATGTTAAAGATTTAAATTTAATTAAAAAGTTTTAATTAGATTTAAAACCATGTCATGTAAAGTTTAAAACCCATAAAGATTTTTTAATATTTTTCATGGCATATCTTTTGAACGCCATACATTTTTTCATAAAGATTTAAAACTTATAAATAAACCTTTGTAACTCTTTAAGGTAAGTAGATAGATTTCTAAGGTAGGTTGGTAGCTTTCAAGGTAAGTAGGGTTTTTAATATTAGCTTTTTAAGGTAGTTGGGTAGCTTTTAAAGGCAGATGAGAAGATTTTTAAGGCAAATTGATAGATTTTAAAAATAGGTTGGTAAGCTTTAGATGAGTAGTTTTTAAAAGTAGGTAGGTATATTTTTTTTCTAAAATCTATTGCCCACATCAAATTTTAAAAAATTGTTTAAGTAGCAAATTTTTAAAGTACTTTTTGTTCTTATGATTTATTAGGTGTAATTTTTTGTAAAAAATTGGACAACTTTCCTGAATGTTTGAATGATATCATTTTTGGAGTTCAAACCTTAAAACGCCTCTGACTCGAAATATACTAACTGTTGTCCACCACCTTTTTTTGATGATACTCAATGGGATCCTCATTACCTCATGGGTAACTACTGACCCAATCTTACATATATATAAAGAAACGAAAAACACAGTGCATACTTGGCACTGTGATGTCTGCATAAAAAAATATGGTGAAAAGTTTAAGTTAATGATGTGACTATTATAAGAGTATTTTCTATAAAATGCAATAAAAATAAAAATAAATGTTAGTTATTATCATCCAATGCAATTCCTACATTTATGCTGTTTATTGAATTGCTGCAAGTTACTTTTATTGAATTGTTGCGGGATAACTTTGTAGGAATTTCTTACAGATATGTTAATTACTTTTCTAAAGCCAATTGTCAACAAAGGAGTATTTCTAAAAGGTGACAACATTCTTTTCTAGTGATATCTCTCTTTTTTTATATATTTTACACATTGTTATTATACATTTTGAATCTATCCAATCAAATTAATTTAATAAACATCTAAATTAAACTTTTGTTGAATTATCATTAAAAAAAACAAAATAATATAAATTTATGGCGCAAATATTTAGAGTAAATATTATAATTTCCTTTATATTAAAAATGACTATTTACAAACAAAATATTTGGTGTAGTAAGATATATTTTTAGTATCTTTTTGTTATTTTCTCTAATATAATAATTTACCTTGTTTTATATTTTATAGTTCTTAATGTCCATAAAAATTTTTCTTCCGTAATTTCTAATACACGCTGAAGCTAGATTGATTGGATTTGCAATGAACCTAAAGAATTTATTTCTTCTCATTTTATTTAATTTCGAACACGTATAATCCTTATCTGATGTTTTTCTTGCAGCTTTAATAAACGGATGATTTAGCAAATCATCTGCAGATGGTCGACTTCTTGGATCTCTAGAATTTAACTTTATATCATTAGTAAGAAGAATTTTAAGTGCTGACTCAGCGTTAAGCAATTCACTCAGATATATTGATTTAGCACTTAACGTTAATGGTTGAAAAAAACACATGTTTTTTTTTTTTTTTTTAGTTTATATATATATTTGCTGTTTATATAATAAGAAAATATAATTACAAAGAAGCATTTACATACAAAAAAAAGTTGATTTATAAAAACAGGCAGGGGCTCAATAAAGATACGGATGACTAAAGTCACCACAATCTTTTCATAGAGCCCCTATGTGGGCTTTACAAGTTTAAAATAGAATAATATTGTTAAAAATACATGTTGATGAATACATGTTGAATACATGTTGATGAATGGAAGATTTAAGTTAAACAAATTTTTTTAACTTCAACTTTTTAGAAACATTTACTAAAATATATTAAAAAATTATTTTGTTACACAAAAAAAGTAAGTCTTAAAGCCGTCATTTGTTGTATCCAAGTAATATTGAAAAATATATCTAGTTTTTAAAAAGTTCCATTTTTGAAACTTGAAATAATAAAAATAAACTATTTTTTCACTAAGAATCATGTTAAGAATGTGTATAAACTTAAATATATATAGATACATAAACGTATTTTTACAAACTTACCTTTTAAAACATTGAACGAGAAAATCTTTTAGAAGAGGTGTCATGGTTTCTGGAATGTTTGGCTCTTTTCTTCCAGAGCCTATATTGTAAAGAGCTGACATTGGTTCCATCCAGCTAAATGGAGGAGAGGTTGTGTACATTTCAATAACTGTGCATCCCAAACTCCTGTTAAAAAATATAAAAGCTACAAGCATTTTGTGGTTTAATAAAAATATTTTATTAGTTGTTGTTTTGGTTTTGTGGCAACTCTGACATCGTTTTTATAGTTATTAAATAAACGTTTTAACATTTAAATACTCTAATATTATTTTTCAAAAAGTAGCAAGCAAAAATTGTAAAATAAGGTAATAATTTTTTTTTTCCTTTTTTAAATTTTTAAGGCTTCAAATCTGTGTTAATTGAAACTAGCACATTTATATGTAAAAAATAAACAACACTTCATTAACTTGTTGCTCCCACGTTATGGGTATTTAAGTTCAAATTTTTGGGCTACTTTTGTTTCCAGACTCCAATCATCGTAATTTTTTGACAAACATCCTTATTTGACATAATTATAATTATAATAAACAAATAAGTGCGTGAAGTTTGCTCCATGACTGAAATTTTATCTCAAACATTAAAAAATACTGCATCCGCCGCTGGATATAAAGTGATGTTCAAAAGTCAGTTGACATTTAAAAAAGTGAATATTTAGGCATTACTTTATGAATGAAAAGATATTTATGGGTAGAAAGTATTTAGTTTAATAGAAAACAAAAAGAATGTTTGAAATAAAAATAGAACAGCAGTCGATTAATGTTAGAACGATAAAAAATTAGGTAAAACGCAAAAAGGTGCTGCTCAAAAGTTTGTTGACAGTGACAAGAACACAAGTTTAAACAAAATAGTTTTGTTATTTTGGTGCAAACGCAATCCATTTAATATTTTTTTGGTCCGCCTTTAGCAAGCAGATAACTGCTTGCAAGCGTTTTGGTATCGAAAGTACTAGTTTCTGAATGAAATTAATGTCAATTTCTTCCCAATGACGTTTGATTGTTGTAAACATGTTATTTTTGGACTTTCTTTCGTCTTGAGGAATAGTTCTATGTATGTACTCCCATATAATTTTGATTATATTTAAATCTAGCGATTGAGCAGGCCAATCGAACTTGAAAATATCATGATTAGCGAACCAATATTTGACAATCTTTGCTGTATCTTTTGGATCATTAACCTCCTGCCAGATAAAATTGTCCTCGATCTTTAATTTTGCCGCAGTAGCAAATACGTTTCGCTGTACAATATTGAGATAGAATTCTTTGGTCATTTTACCATTGATCAACTCGATAATACCAGGGCCGTTCCATGAAATAGAACCCCACAACATCACCGACCCACCACCAAACTTGACTGTAGGTATGTTGCATTAAAAACTCCTCATTCCTTTACCAATCGACAAAGAGAAGACCGTTCTTCTTCTCTTTGTCGATTGGAGTTCAAACTTGCATTCGTCTGTTCAAATTACAGATTTCCAGACTTTGAGTGGCAACTTTATATGCATTTTAGCAAACGCCAGCCTCTTTCTTCGATTATTTATAGAGGTGAATGGTTTTTTTTGCATTGCTCTACCATATAATCCGACATTATTGAGATGTCTTCTAATTGTTTGAGGACTAATTGCCAAATTTAATTCGTTTTTAAGTTTTATTGAACTCATGTTTGGCGTTTCAACCGATGTTCTAACGATCAGTCTATCATTTCTTGCAATTGTCTTCCTTGGTTGACCAGATCTAATTGAATCTTCTACCTTTTTTTGCTGGTTCATTCGCTTAACGATCATCCTTACAATTTCCGCATTCAGTCCAAGTATCTTTGCTAGTTCTCTCAATGACTTTCCTTCCACCTTAATTAAACGATAAATTTCAATCCTGATATCAGTCGAAGTTTCACGGTGTGCCATCTCAAAAAAGTTTATTTCGTCAATATGCTATTCAAAACAAGTAGTGACATTTAAAATGTTTATTTAAAATATTATTTAACTTAATTAAGCCATTTTTCTGCTTATTTCATTAACTTACCGGTGATTATATAACACTTGTCAACAGACTTTTGGATTTAGCCAAATTTATAAATCGTGATATATTAATTTATCTATTTATATTTTTTGCTATTTTTATAATACTTTTAAAAAGTAACTGTATCTCGAAGGGAATTTAGCAATATTTTGCTTTTCTTTTTGGTTTTTGATCGCGATACAGCAGTTTTTCACAAAATATACGCCTGTCAACTCACTTTTGAGCGTCACTGTATAATTTAGTTAATCAAAGGTAGGTTTAATTATTAATACATATAACAAATATATTAATATTTATAACAAAATTAATCAGAGCTGAAATATTGAAAGTTTTGTTTTTGAAATTCAAATTTTGAAATTTAGAACTACGCAGAATTTGCCAATAATAACATTTATTCAATAATATTCTATGTTATAAACAACAAGCTAGGAAAAAATTCCTCAATATATGGTAATTTATGGCTATATATGGTTTTATATATGACTATATATATATTATTCAATTTTATCAATGGATAAACTATGAAAAGGTCAACTAGGTTTTTTTTTATTTTTTTATTTAGGTGACCCAAGAAATTCTAACGGTCTTGTCACAGAGCACCGCGCAAGTGCATTTAACCAGGAAGTTCACGCCTACTTCCTTACCGTAACGCGAAATATGTCCAAAGCTCGTTTCGAAACTGGATCTCCTGCTTATAAAGCAAGCGCTCTAACCACTGCGCCACGGCCACAAAGTGACTTATTAGAATTTAAAAATAATTTTTACAGTTTAATGGTTGGCTTCAATTTAGATGAACTAGTGAAATAAAAACTTACATTATAGATAAGAAAATCCCAAAATATTAGTATAGATAATGTTAGTATAGATACAAAAAAATCAGTTTTGTCTTATTAAAGGAATTTCTTTTTATTATACGTTCTGATAAGATAATATAATCGAATGAAGAGTGGGTTGAATGAAGAGTGGGTTATTTTTAGGGTTCGGAAAATGTGTCTGCAAAGATCTGCGCACACAAAATATGCGCATAATTGCGCAGACGTCAGCACCGATGTCTGCGCAGACACTTTAACGGAAACGAAAAATTTAAGTTATCCGAATTAAATGTCTGAAACTATTTTTGCATAATTATCTACTTTTTACGAGTTTTCTGTTTCTTTTTGGTTTGAGTTACATATAATCAATCAATATAAACTTTTGTAAGTGTTTCTTACTACAATTTAAAGTGATTTAGAATCAAGAAATCGTGTATTTTTGTCATTCAAAATGTTTAAAATGAAAAACATCAAAATTTCGACAAATCTTGATCGAGAGAAGCGTTCTGAAACTTGTTTAGCATGTAAAAAAAACTGTTCAATGGTCGAAGGAACTTCTTACAGCGCATAAAAGATCAACATGTCCAAATGCCAGTGTCAAAGAATTGTTTTCTAAGCGTAATTATGAACCGTTAAATCTGATCAATGACTCGCAGCAACTCCCGTCTACGTCTGATTAACCGACACAGCGTATACGTTAACTAATTAATGAAGAGCTCAAAAATGATATCGACTCGAAGCTTGCTAATTTCTTTTACCGTACGGGTGTATCATTAGTCGAATCGGAGGAATTAAGGATTTTGTTAAGTCGCTCAAATCCATCGTACGCATCTGTCATCCCGAATGCTAAAGCCTTATCAGGATCTCAGGATTATCAGGACAAACAATACACAAAATCCTCTACTTCTGTAAATAAAATTTTGAATTCTGATGTCTGACGGCTGGACGAACATAAGAGGCGATCACATAGTGAATATTTGTATTAAAACGCCCGATCAGAAGCCTTTTTTTTACATCTCGATGAATAGATCCGGAATCATTCAAAATCCATCTGCAGTCGCCGCGGCAATCTTAAAAGTTATTGAGAAGACTGGCTCACAAAAATTTAACAGTTTCAAAAGCGACAACGCTCCTGTTATGAAATCAGCGTGGAGGATCATTAAGGAAAAATATCCACACATCTCGGCTAGTGGATGCGGAGCTCAAGGAGTCAACTTGCTTGTAAAGGACATTCTTCAGCTATCAAAATACGTTCTTATTAAGTTGGTAGACGAAGAAAGTATATTACTGAAAGAAATTCAACTAAAGAATACATCTGCTGCTTTTATGGCATTGATAAAATCTAAACCATTTTGGGACCGTCTCTCTAAGCTTGTCAAGAGCATTGAGTTTCCTACGTGATTGGAAGACTAGAAATGAATGAAGCTCTATTGTCTCTCGTGTATGTTTACTTTGGTCAAATGAACAATTCTTATATGGACAATCTCACCTCGATTTTCTCTTTACACCAGGTATTGGAATAACTTTCATATTAACGCCCAAAAATGCCGCAGAAGGTTTATATTTGAATGAAGATAAACCGGCTTTATCATTTCTACAGTTGAATTCGCCGAAAAGATCAAATCTGAAATTGCTGACACTGCCGAGGATGAGTTGATTGCTTTTATAGGAGAAATGGCTGCGTTGACTGAGAGAAGAAAGGAAATAATATTCAAGATGAACACACGAAATTATAGGAACATTATCGGTCGCGATAAACATCCTGCTCTTTACGAAATTGCTAAGCCTATTAATGAAATGATCTGCTCATTGGCTACAGCAGAAAAAGCTTGGTTGACCTTTCGATTTTTCACTCGCGACTAAGAAATCGTCTTACGAATGAGAGAGTTGAAAAGCTGGTATTCCTGTATACCAATAGCGTGCTGATGGACAAAAATGATAAGACTGATTATATTATAGAAGAAGGTGCAATTCTTAATAAAATTGAATGTAAAGAAATCACCGAATAGGCGCCAGCATTATATTTTTTTATTAATGTAAGAACCTTTGAAAATTCCTATTGTTACTAATCACTGAATTTGTAATAAAGTTAAAATATTACTTAAAACATTTTTTAAATTAAATTTTTTTTTTAATGATTTCAAAAAATTGGCTGCAAAGCAGTAAATTTTGTCGGCGCCGATGTCTGCGCAGACAAATTACACTGTCTGCGCATATCTGCGCAGACAGTCCGAACCCTAGTTATTTTATAATTGAATGAAGAGTTATTTTATACAGTTTGAAAGCTAATTAAGATTTCTTTTCAATGGCAATAAAAATAATTTTAATAAATTTTTAAAAATTTTGAAAATTTTTGTTTAATATTGCCTTAATTGTCTGCAAAAAAAAATTGATAGCCCCGAGCTGTCTAGAAAAAATTTGAAAACTTCTTATTATACTGAAAATGCAGTTTGATAAACTTTTAATGCATTAAACAATCATTAGGAAGTTTGATAATAAATTAAGTTTTTCATCATTATATAAATTTGAATCACATGAAATTAAAACTAGAAAGTATTAGTTCAAAATGGCTCAATCATATACTAATACCATAATACTATGACAATACTACGAATATAATACTATGATAATACTATGAGTAAATCAGCATATCATGATATTCATATAGAATGTCCAGATAGATACTCATCGTACCGATCCATTTAGAAAAAGAAAGCTGAATGCTGTCCTAATCCAGAAGCTATTTCAACCATGATTCTTCCTTCTTACTAATACTTCTGTTATAGTAAAATTGAAAGCATTTATAAAACAAACAAATGAGAGAGTTGTAAAAATGAATGAAGGTAAAATTTTGAAGCACAAAGAAATACGTAATAAACAGCAAGAACACATGGTTCTTTTAAGTTCACGGGGCTTGAATAAAACATTATTGCCGGCACAATTTGGCAAGTACTGCAACTCCGCTCAAGTTATCATATGTAAATACAATATATATATATATATATATGTATATATATATATATATATATATATATATATATATATATATATATATATATATATATATATATATATATATATATATATATATATATATATATATATATATACATAACATAATAAATATGTTACCTAAAAGTGCGAGATTCTGTCGTCCATTGAGGCAAGATTAAATAAAAGAGTCAAAAGAATTGTTTTTAAAAAGTAAAGCAAAAATAGAAATTGAAACGAGTTGAAACCACTTCTAATTGAATTATCAAACAAAAAGTTAGTTTTAATTGATTTTGATTTCGTAATGACCATGATCCATGGGAAAGTCTTACATCACCAATAGTAAATCCATACAAAATTCGAAAATCTAATCAATTGTTTAATCTGCGAAGCCATATCGAATGAAATAAGTGATATTACATATTTAAATAACTTTAAAACCTTTGAAAGCACTTTAACTTAAGTTATGTCAACACCTGGATCTGGTTTTTTGAATGCTTACTAAAAATCTTATAGACTTGAAATTGAAAATTAGAAAGTAACTAAAACGTTCAAGTCAAAGTACATTGAGAGGAAAAAATTAATAAAAAAAAAATTATGATGCTTTTACACTCAAGGTGGACATGCCAAATTCTTAACAAGCAAGAACCAGTACGACAGGCAATGTGTGTGTAAAGGCATTTTCAATTCCAGCTTTGTTCAGTAAAGTTCTCGTCATAGATAAAAATTTGATTATAAAATTTAGCAACACTTTTATTACAATCAATTGTAATAACTCTATTGAACTTATTAAGTTTGAAAACTATTGTAACAAAACTTACTAAAATTTCTTCACAATTTATGGCCGACGACACGGGGGAAGGGAGGAGGCAGTGCACCCTGGCCCCCTCCTCTCATTTGTTTTCTAGAGGACATTTTTTCTTTTTCTTTTTCTTTTTTAATTAGATATAGAGAGGATTTTTTTATTAACTGACAATTGTGCCCCTCCACTTCGCAGCCCGCGTTGTCGGCCCAGCAAAATCCTGGCAGCTGATATCATTTCAAGTTCACTTAAGCCAATTGTTACAATTGGTTCAGAATGTAGAAACAAGTTCTTCAGAATGTAGAAACAAGTTCTACTCCAGAAATTGTGAAAATCATGCCAAAAAAAATTCAAGAAATTTCAACTTGATCAATGTATTTAGGCGAGCAATGAACACTTCTGACCGAATTGTAAATTCCTTATCTTTAGCCAAAAGAATGAAGTATAAACAAAAAACTAGACTACCTAAAGCTTTAAAAGAGTTATTTATCGAGAAACTGATAATACTACAACTAAAGCAAGAATTGACACGGACAACATAATGAAACACATAGAAAGATGAAACTATCAATCATAATGACGGTATGGAAAAATCACTGGGAAGGAGTTGGAAACAGAAAAAAAAGATAATGATTAAGAATAAATCCTATTAATAGAAAACTTAATGTATACTAAATGTAATGATGCCAAAAATAAAAAACTATGAACGTTTTTTAATATTTTTTACGAAAAGTTCCTTATTTTTCAACTTTCATATCAAATTTCTCCGATATGCACGATTCATGTTTTATTAAATTTTTTCGTTGAGTTGAGTCTCCTATTTACATTCAAAATACTAGTTCAATTTAGTGATAATTTTATTTCATAAAATCTTTCCACATTTTGGAAATGCTGCAAATTTTCAACTTTAAAGCTTTATTTTTTTAGTCAAATTTGAACCAACCTTAATGACAGTTTTTCTGGGAGTCAACACAGAATATATTTCAAAAGCGCCCCACTGTGAGTACTTTTTATATTTGTGTAGTAGGTCTTTTACTGTGAGTACTTTTTATATTTGTGTAGTAGGTCTTTTACTGTGAGTACTTTTATATTGTGTGTCTTTTACTCAATAGAACTTCTTATTTATTTCACTGTAAAACTCAAGTAAAGCAATTTTATTAAGAATGCTAAAAACTAAAGCTAAAGCTAAAAACCTGTTAATTTTACAGATACAAGTTTATAAATTTATTTTGCATTAGAAAAAATATTAAAACTACAGCATTTAAAACTTGATTTTGACCTGTTTAAATCTTTAAATGAAAACGCTAAGTTTTTCGTCTAATTTAATGAAAAAATTTAATTTAACTGACCATATATCAGCTCTTCTTCCATATCCATTATTACATGCATTTGCTTTAATGACTTCTGGAGCCATCCAATACGGACTCCCGATCACAGCTTTCAGGTTGGTGGTTAGTGTGCTACATCTCTAATAATAAATAAATTAGGCTTATTACAAAAATTTATAAAGTTTATCAACACATTTTGTAAATTGCATCAAATACCTCAATTTTCATGGAAAGTCCAAAATCAGCTAGCTTGATAGTTGTTTGCTTTGCATCTAATAAGATGTTTGCTCCTTTTATATCTCTGTGTATGACCAAATTTTTGTGAAGATAAGATAAACCTTCTAGAATTTGATGAGTGTAAAGACGTAGTTGAGCTTCACATAAACCTCCCACACTTTGGACAAGATCGCGCATACTTCCCTATATTGAAACTTATAAATATGATAAATCATTGTTGAGAAAACAAAGTTAATATTAGAGTTGACTTACTCCAGGAAGGTATTCCATAAAAATAAACATTGATGAGTAATTGGATTTCTCAAAACCATAGTATCTCAAAATGTTTACGTGATTTAAATTACTCAAAACTCCGATTTCATTATCAAGCTCCTCTATTTGCTAAACACAAAAAATTTCTTTAATGAGAAATATAAAGTATATATATATATATATATATATATATATATATATATATATATATATATATATATATATATATATATATATATATATATATATATATATATATATATATATATATATATATATATATATATATATATAATATATATATATATATATAATATACCTACAGATTATTTTGTATAAAAAACTTTTTTGTACACTAAGTGAATATAATGCTAAAATTTTCAAAATTGTATATAGTTGGGTTTATTTTTGCTTTATATTACTAGAACTTTGTGAAATTGTCCAATATTATATTACTTGAAATTGTCCATTTGTTTTGTAAAAATGTAATGTAACTTTATACCTAAGCATTAACTTTAATTTAACTAAAACTAAGTATATATAGACCTAGCTTAAAGCATAATGAAATTTAACAATTATTTTTTCTGTATTGACTGTTTTTTTTTTAACATAAAGTAAGTAAATAAAACATCACAATGTTTAGCTTTAAATACTTTTTGATGACATTTGATTTCAGAAAACAGTCTATCAAATTTTCACTGTCATTTTTTTTTTTTATTCGCTACTTCTAAAGGAGTATTCTTAATTCCCTTTCATGTGTTATCTAAAACTACTTTCCTAAACAGTTTTTGACTATTTTCCTAAATAAGTTGTAGCGGGCAGTACTTAAAAATAACTACAGTATGACGTTTGCAACATTGGACTAATAATTTAATTAAGGTCCTGACCGTTTACTTTTTTCTTTTTATTGCAAAAAAAAATTTGTAGGAACGAAGATTTTGAAATGGATACATTAGTTTCCAAGAGTTGACTAGATAACGTTAGGATGTCAATAAGTTTCTCTTCGTGACTAAAAATGGAGTTAAGATTGAGTTCATAGAGTTTGAACTCAGGTAAAGGTTCAAAACAAAGTAGCTCAACTTTTTTTTTTCCAAATTCCTCCTAAGCCGATTGTAATAATGTTGACCTCGAATACTATTTTAGAATCAAATGTAGGCTGTCTTTCGCATTCAAAACTATTGTTTAAAAAACTAGAAATAATAAACTTGTGCCAAATAAACATATATAGATTATTTATTTATTTCGCTGTTTAAATAAGATTTACAATGTTCAATAATATAACAAAATAAAATAAATGGCTGGAGCAAGAAGAAGGCATAAATTAGCTTTATCACCAAGCCCCATTAAAAACGCTTCAAAAAATCCGAAAGATAAAATAACAAAAAATAATAAACAATTGCAAGTAGTTAAGATTCAAGAAAGTAATAAAACAACAATAACAGTTAAAAGTAAGTTAATAAGTTAAAATAATATAATAAAATAATGAAAATTACAAAGTTCCCGTTTTGGGCTGTGCATCGTAATTTAAAATTAAAATAAACAAAATTCTTTTCATATCATCATAAAGTATATAAAAGTTTTTATAAAATAAAGTACTTCAAGGTATTTTACAAAAAGAGGTTGGATGTTTAAATTAAACAAACATAAATAAAATGGTATTAAGAACAAAAAATTCTCAAAGTCATAATTAAATAAGAAATAAAAATTAATTTATAAGATATCACTAATAAGATTTGTATACTCTAAAATATTCTTTTTAATTAATTTTTGATAGCAATTTATATTTTTTCCACTCGTTATATTACTATTTTTTTGCTAAGATTTTATTCCAGATATGAAGAGCACGATATGTAATTATAAATTGTTCCTGTTTTGCATAAAGATTCAATTAAAATACCTGTTGTACGCAAGATATAATTAAAGTTAGGTTTAACTTCATAGAGATCGTAAAAAATTGAAGGACATTGTTGGAATTTACTTTTGTATATAAGACATAAATTTTATATTTGTTTAGCTCGTATAATGTATAAATATTCATAATTTTAAAAAGTGGTTTTGCATGTACGCTTTTATTTTTAAAATTCATTATTCTTAAAGCATGTTTTTGTTTTGTATAGAGTGTTTCTAGTTTGCCTTTAGTAGTACTGCTCCAAGCAATATTTGCGTAATTTAAGTAACTTTGTATAAAGCTGAAATATATTAGGTGATGTTTTTAAGGAGATACCTTGACTGATTCTAATACTTTTTGATATATTGTTGTCAATATAAGCAATATGTATGTGCCAGGGTATATTTGTCAATAAGCACACCAAGAAATTTTGTGACTCTTTCTTGACTAATTTCTTTATTTTCAATAATTAGTTTAGGAATTGAAATAGGAATTTTTTAAATTTTATTTAAAGGATGGAATAAAGAAAAGTTTGTTTTATCCGAATTAATTGAGAGTTTGTTTACTTTAAACCATGTTGAAATGTTTATTAGCTCATCGTTCATTTGTACGAAGACTTGATGTATATCTTTACCTGAGATAAAAAAGTTACTGTCATTGGCAAACATTATTTTTGATATATTTGATGCTCTCCAGAGATCATTTACATATATAAAAGTTGAGGCCTAAGAATAGATCCCTCGGGCACTCCAAAAAAAATCGAAGATAAACACGAATGTTTATTATTTCCATAATGTATGGATTGCGTACGGTTACTAAGGTAGTATATATAGAGGACTTAATGTATAATACACAATGGTCCGAAATTTTATTTATTTATTTTCTCAGTTATTATACAACTCAGTTTACATAAAAAAAAAATCTTACTTTTAAATTATGAGCAAATAAAGGATTATTTGCTCATAATTTAAGATTAACTCTGGCTTCTGATGTAAAATGTAGAAAAGAGCGAATTGTAATGATAGCAGATTAAATGAAAGCCCTATGGAATAATTTGAATCTGCCAATTCAACAAGGTAGATCTACGGTTGCACGAAAAGTTGAGAATGTAATAAAAACTTATGAAAAGCATGCTCGAAGATCTGGAAACAATGATTTTAGTAAATTGTTTAATGTAACAGAAGAGAAAGGAAAATGATTGTGCAGAGAAGACAGGGAGTTTTATGAACTGCAGGTTTCAACAAAAGGGAAAATAGGATATTGCACCACAAAAGAAGACACACAGGGGATACATCAAAGAAAAGTGAAGATGCTTAAAAGAAGAGTGTCAATCATACAAGAGTCTATTGAAGAAAGTAGTGAAGAAGATTCAGAAACAGTTACAGAAACAGAAAAATCTATGAGTGAAGAACAAAGAACTGATTCTGCAGTACGTTTGGTAACTGCAACAAAACTGAGTTCTAGGAAGGTCCACAAAGTATGTGAAACTTTGTCCAAAAGCGAAGTTTCCATACCTAGTCCAACTCAGAGTGGCATCTACAAAGCGGTAATAAAAGAAGGAGAAAAGCTAAAACGCAAATTTCAAGGAAAATTTAAAAAATGGACACTGGTGTTTACACTTTGATGGTAAGAATAAATAAAACTAGGGAAGTCAGACTTGCTGTACTTCAATTGACTAATGGAAAAGGTGAGACAATATTCAATGGAATAAAAACTGTTCTTGACGAATATGAACTATGGCCCTCAATAAAAATTATTGTTTCTGATACAACTGCAGCTAATACTGGAAAAAATCTGGGAGCTGTCACACTGTTTCAGAAGCATTTTGAAGATATTGGATAAGAAAAACTTGTGTTTATTGGTTGTCAACACCATATTCTGGAAACGATATTGAAACACGTCATGAATGATCATTTTGGGAGAACAACGAATTCACTAAACATCTGTAATTCCTTTATTTCACAAATAAAAGGATACTATGAACAATTGAAGAAATCATTTGATAATACAGGAAAAGAACAGGAGAAAGTAGAACAGGATTGCGGGCGAGATGACGTGTCCTTTCTTGATCACTTAGTATCATGCTACAATTATTTCAAAAGTACAGGAAGTTTCCCAAAAGTGCATTTTCGATCACTTCTATCTATCAGTAATCCAAGATGGAACTCAAGAGCCATTTATGTTTTGCTTAGTTTCATCCTGATGCCAGTTTAGACAAACAACAATATGGCATGTGATTTCATCTGTGGTTCATGGTCAAAAGTCTGGTTCTCTTCTTAGTTCTTCAATCTTGCCGACTTTGATAATTTGTCAGAAGCTTGTAAAGAGTATCCTAAGGCTTTACGCTTATTGAGGAAGTTTTGGTCAGTGGAGCCTACGCCTATAGCAACCCACCGTTCAAATATCTGTGCTGAGCGTGCCATTGAAGTAATGCAAGACCTGCTTCCACTCTGCAAATCGACTGAAAAGTTGAATGTTAAATTTCTTTTAAGTAATGAACATTAGAAAAATAATGGTATATTTATTTATCGGTGATGTATTGTAAAATATAAAATGTTATTGTAAAATGATGCAACTTTTATGTGAATATACTTACATGTTATATCTTAGACATATCATTTTCTTATTTGGAGGGAGGACTTTTTTTAAGCAAAAAGAAAAATATTTACTTATTCGTTATTTGTACACAAAACCTCCACTAATTATCATATAGGCATATGGGATTATGAAATTGTTATATCCCTAATATATATATATATATATATATATATATATATATATATATATATATATATATATATATATATATATATATATATATATATATATATATATATATATATATATATATATATATATATATATGTATTTATATATATATATATATATATATATATATATATAAATATATATATATATATATATATATATATATATATATATATATATATATATATATATATATATATATATATATATATATATATATATACACTTCGAAATCTACTACCATGTTAACATAAGGATAATTTTGTCTATAGTCGATTTGTTAGTAGACATACGCTCTTAGCTTTAAAATAGTTAGGTGACAGTTTCTCGCTTAAAAACAGATTTTAGAGTGAAAAAACGATTTTTTGGTTCTTTGATGTAATATTTGTTTTTGGGCTGCAATATTTGAATAATTTAGATGGCATTGAATAAATGAGAAATAAAGTTGAATTAATGAGTGTCAATAATTACA